TCAAGAGTATGAGAAAGATGATTTGTTTCGTAAGTGATAAGGTTACCTCGAAGATCGTCGTATGTGATGACGTTGTAATCCCGGCCTTCGTAAATGGAGTTTACCTTTGACTCCCATTCCTTGGTAAGACTTCGCAGGATTTTCCTCACTAACTCCTTGTCGGTGAGCGTCTTTCCAAGCATATCAAGGTCGTTGACGATGTTTGAAAATCTTCCAAACATGTCCTCCACAAGTTCGTTTTCTTTCATAGCAAATAACTCATATTCATGGGTTAGTAAATCAATTTTTGATTCACGAACTTGAGGCGTACCTTCTTATGTGATCATGAGCTTGTTCCACATTTGGTTAGCTGTTTGGCAACGAGATATCTTTTGATAATCGTTGGCGTTGACCGCACAATACAAGAAGTTGATGGCGGTGGCATTCAATTGAGCCTTCTTGAAGTCGGCTTCATCGTATTCATTCTCGTCCTTCGGGATGAGTGTATCGCCTACCTTCTTCATCGGCAAGCTATCTCCATTCTTGATAGCAAGCCAAATTTTGAAGTCGTTTGATTGAACAAAAATCCTCATTCTCTCCTTCCAATATGAGTAATTTGTTCCATCAAAAAATGGCGGCCTTAGGTGGATTGCCCTTCTCCTATCCCTGCGTTCAACATTCTCAAAAAATTTTTTGATCGTTTTCTCAAACGTCACAAAGAGCGTTAGAGATACCTGCTCTGATACCAATTGTTAGACAAGGCGTGCAACTCTAGAGGGGGGGGGGGGTGAATAGAGTTGTTGAGAATGTTTACCGATTTTCGCAGGATTAAAAAATATAAACGTAAGTGCAGCGGAAATAAAATAGAGAAGGCGAAGAACACACCGATGTATACTGGTTCACCACCTCGTGGCTAGTCCAGTTCCCCGAGAGACTCTCTCGAAGCTACCACTACTTCCGTTAAGCTTACGAGTGCTTAACAAACCGACTACAACTAAAGAACTTGAATCCCACAAGACTCGACACAACCGCTTGTAGATATGCCCTCTACAAGACTTCACAACCAAGACTTAAATCACATAAGCCTTGAACAACAAGAAGAACAATCTTCTTCAACCTCTCACAAATAGCTCTCAAAAGAGTAGATAAGAGAAAATATTAAAGCTCTAATGGATGACAAGAAACCTCTCTTAAAAACAAATATTTTCTCTCAAATTAATATAAATTTGAGGAAGGATTGATGTAGGATTAACACCTCAAGAATGGGGAGTATTGGAGTGTTTCTTGTTTAGAAAAATGACCAAGGAAGGCTGCTTAAATAGGAGGTGAAGAAATATTAGGCAACCAGGTTCTTTTCTTCGACACGTCTTTTCTACGTCGTATTATTAGCTAATTACGTAGTGGTTATTAGCTAATTACGTAGTAGTCGTTGCTAGTTACGTCGACTTCCTTTTAGCATTAAATTAAAGGGATTAATCGATTAGAAGGCTCTGTATGAACTAATCGATTAAAACAAAGATACAAATCGATTAAACAAGGGACCTAAGCAATCCAACGCAACAAGCAACTAATCGATTAAACAAGGAGGAAAAATCGATTAATTAAATGTGCTGAACAATAATCGATTAAACAAAGAAGTATAATCGATTAAAAGAAGAAATCATGCGCAAACACAAAGGGCCCAAGCCAGTTGCGATATGGAGAGCACAATTGGCGTAACACTCGTTGTTTGAGACAACGGGAATCAGAGAACGCTCCTCCTCTCTTATTCAATGAATTTGAATAAGGGAGTAAAAGTGAGTCCAAAAATTATTTTGTGTGTCAAACGATGTACACGAAAAAAAATTTGAATAAAATATTTTTGCTTTTCAAAAATATTTTCTAATATCAAAAATAACTATTTTGATAAATGTTTGACACACGTTTTTGTAACTGACTCAATAAATGTATTTTGAACAGTTAAAAGAATTTTTCAACTGACACCAAAAAATAAATATAATTTTTATTTTAACACTCATAAAAATAATTTTGGAGAGAAGATATTTTTGCCATCCTTACAAAAATTCCTAAGACTCAAATAAATAAAAAATCTTCGGAAATCTTCTACTCCTCCAAGTCCTCCATTAGGCGCTCCGAACCCGTCTCGGACTCCAATAAAATCCTGTGCACCTTCTTGAATACTTCAAGGAATGGCACTTCAAGTCTTCGTGTGTGTCGTTGTAGCACTTTGATCTTGACTTGAATAAATTGTGTTTGTCAATTATCAAAACCTGTGAGTCAACATTTCACAACACAGAAATGGTTGAACTCATGCATTCCAACAATTTGGCGGAATCTAGGATCGGAAGATTGAATTAGAGCGACCAGATCTAGAATAGCGGAATCTCGGATCAGAAGATCGATTTTGCCCTAACCTGCTGCCTTCATCGCGGAGTCGCAGAGCTGTTACGGTGATAAAGGAGGGCGGAAAGCAAGATGATGGAGATGGGGGAGATGAACATGGCGACGAAGACGTTGAGGTGGGCGGCTGATTAAACCCTAATTCTGATTAATTTTAGTCCGGCTGTACAGGGAGAACCGTACAGCCGGATGTACAATATAATTTGCGGTAACAAACGTGTGGGGTTCTAGTGGCACCAAGATACAGTGACACTCAAGTGCCACTGTCATTTTGAAATATTTCCGGTATTCCATTCGTAAAATTGATGGTTCTTACCCCCCTAACACACCCCCTAAACCGCCCACCCTACCCACGCCCCTACACCCCAGCCCAACCCCGCCATAAGCCCCCCGCTGGAAGCAACTATTCATTTTGTCTCTTGTATTTTCTTTCTCAGGGTGTGCCCCGTTAGATTGGGTACCCAACTCAACCATCATATCCTATATATATCTCATCATATATATATATATATATATATATATGTATGTATGTATGTATGTATGTGTGTGTGTGTGTGTGTATATATATATATACATACATACATATATACATACATATATATATATATATATATATATATATATATATATATATATATATATATATATATATATAACTGTGTGTGTGTAAAGTTGAGTGTGTTGTTTGTGGTATTGACATGTGGCATGTCACATGTGCATCCACATGTGCACTAATGTATGAGGTGGAAGTATTTCATTGGTCCATTAAGCTTATTTTTTAAAAGGATCTTTTAATATATTTTATTGTATTATATTAAATGAATATTATTTTTTAGCATTAAAAACATTATTTTGATTATATTTTGTGATAGATATAACCCACTGGTACCACCCGGCAAGTTCGCAAATGCCCGGGGGGCACCAAAGTCTGGCCCTGCCTGACGTCACCAACCCCAGTAGACTGACCGGGTGGATGTCACAGATGCTCGAGAGATCCGAAGGTTGACCCCACATGACCTCACCAACCCCGGTAGACTAACCGGGTGGATGTCTGGGCTCAGACATGTGAAATCGTGACTTCATTCGTAGAGAAGGCTTGAAGTTTGGCCTGCTTGAAGACAGCCCGGGTGGATGACTTGAAGACTGCCCAGGTGGATGGCTTCAAGACTGGCCAAGTTGAAGACTGCCCGGGTGGATGACGTGAGATGAACAGTAGTGTTGAGCAGTGTATTTTCTATTATTATAAATATGAGTGAAAGCCTCATAAAGAAGGGAGGCACAAAATAATCCGCACGGTTGTAAACTTGTAATCGGTCCCTACATTATTAATAACTACTCGGGTTACAGGTGTTCCCACCTACAACCCTTCCGCTTTTTGTGACTTAGCATTACGTTGGTTTTACACCATCAAGATTGGCGTTGACCGTGGGACCTTTTTAAAAAAAAGAAGCCATGACGAACAACAATATGGAATCCATCATTTCCCAAATTTCCACCCCGGCGGAGGGCGTTACCCTGATCCCGGGAAGAATTACATCATTACATTCTCTTTTCTCCCCCATGATCACCACCTTCACTACTCAAACAACACCCAATCAGGCCCTCCAAAACTTTGGACAATTTATGCCCATGTTCCAACAACCTGGGGGATTTACTTTTTTCATCCCTGGGTTGTATCCCCATGCTCTGGCTCAAAATACATCTCTTCCCAACACGCTGGGGCATCACCCGTCGTATCAACCGGCCAGTACCACCCGGTCGGTCATCCCAACAAAACCACTCGGGGAGCTGGAAAAGGCAGGTCCTGGTGGAGCCAGGCCAAAGTGGCATTTTTAATATTTTTAGTGTTTAATTTTTAGTTGTTTAGCTTAATTTTATTTTAATTTCTATTTTTAAAATGTTTTAATTTTCTTACAAAAATAGTAGTTTTTTAATCATTTTTTTATTTTAATTTCCTAACACAAGTTATCAGATATCTTATTTTTGGAGAAAAGTGCATCGAAAAGCCAAAAATAAAGTTCAAGTTTAAAAGGAAGCAATCGAATTTGGGCCGGAGCCCAAACCTATCATCAAAAGAATCGGCCCATACCAATACTCCATGCCTCCCCCTTTTCAATTTCACGCAAGAATGAACCAAAACAAAATCACCGACTTCTTCGAGTGCAGAACGGAAGAAAAATCCCCAACGTCTCTCCATTCAGTTCGCCCACACGCTCCAACGGGAAGAAATTAAAGATTCTTTGTTCTTAATCTCCTATAAATTGAGCTCTAAAGTAGAAAAGAAGAGAGGAGAAAACGAAGGGGGGAACAACGACGATTGAAAGCCGCGGCGGTGGCGGCCGGCGACGAGGCCACGACGGCGGCAGTGACGTCCGGCGATGGCAGCTCTGGTGGCAGTACATCAGTCAACATTCCTTCAAGTTCCAATTCCTCAATTTGTTCATCTTCTTCAACAAAGTGGTAACCCTTATTTGTCAATTTTTATTTTTTTCTTCCAATTCTATGTAAAAGTTTGTTTTAGTTTAATTTTTACATATTTGTTTGCTTGTTGTGTTAATTTCAAAAATTCCAAAAATGGTTGGTGTTCTTTTATGGGGTTTTTTAATGTTTATATTAAATCCCTTATGAATGAGAATTGATTCAAACTAGTTTTCTTCAATTATTGAGCAATTTGATTTCATAAGTAGGTTGGTATGTAGAATTTGGTTTTTGTTGAAGCTATTTTAGCTCCATAATGTAGTTAAATGAACTCCGGATTCATACGTGATTCTTTGTTGTGCTTTGTGTTTGTTGAATTTTAAAGACTTTGGATTTCTTAGCAGCATAAGTTATTCATTTTCCTTAGAATTCGTTATTGAGTGATTGTTATGTTTTCGTATGTTTGTTGTTTTCATTAATTTGAGGTTGTTTAAGCTCAAAAAAATTCTTGATAAAATATGTTGTGTTCATTTATGTGAATAGAAAAAACATCATTGGTTTGAGAAGTTCATGGAAATCTGTGAAATGTGCTCTTCATTAGAAGAAAAAGTTTATTAAAATGCATAAGGTATTGGCGGTTTGTGAATAGATTATGTATGAGAGTTGAGTGAAAAAACATTCGCTCTTTTATAAACATTTTCTATAGTAGAAGTATATTTTAATGCTTGATTGGTGAGTTGTGGTTATTGATTTGTCTCATTATAAAATTCTTGAATTACATGGCTCCGGGCCTTGTGGAGAGTTGACAATCCTCCATATCTTGGTTAAGGAAATGAGTCGACTCAGCCTTTGATTGATTTTTTTCTATTTTTAAGTGCGTAAGTTACGTAATATATTGTCTACGTGCCTATTATATGTGTAATGTTTGATTTGTGTGTTTGTTCTTTTTTTTATTTTGTTTCGGGTTTTGGCGGTGTTTCATGGGTTACTTTAGTTGGAAGTTGATTGTCTTTGGGCTTGTTTTCCCCCATTTTATCAAAAAATAAAAAAAATTAGAAAATTAAAAAACCAAAAAAATGTTTACTTTTTTTTATTCAACCCCCCCCCCCCCCCCCCCTCTTTTGTGTGATATTAGCATAAATTTTTATTTACTCAGTTTATTTAATAAGTGTTTGTTTATAAGTTATAAATATAAGTTTTTACTTTATTCTTTTAGTATATCTTAAGTATGTGTTTTATGTTTATTAGTTATATTATAAGCTCTTTGTTTATATAAGTTATATTTATAAGTTTTTTAGTTATAAATTTTATACTCCGTACTTTTTATCAAATGTGTAGTAGTTAGTTTTTTTATTTTGTGACAACGTGTTTGCATGCTAAATTGATTTAAAAAAATACAAACTTTCTCCGTGGGATTGACTCTTACTTGCCCTAGCTATAGTTTTTATTTGATTATATATTGGGAGTTAGCTAAGGATATTTTACAAATTTTTAATTTGTTTTGGACCGCACGACAAGTCGTTAACACTCGACTGGGTCAAAATCCTGCACCCGGCTCCTCAAGATCCCGTACAGCCCAGATGCTTTTGGTACTGACCGGTCCCAAACCCAGTTGCTAGGACACTTGGAAGAACTGGATGCCGACCTCCTAGTCAGGAAGTGCTTGGGTAGCAAACTTCTCTGGTTCCTGCACACTGCCCAAGCAGCGGCATGAACGGCCTTGTCGGAGCGCTCCCTCTCCAGCTCAGCACTTTGCTGGACATTCTCCTCCTCCAGCTGGCTCGTCCGCCCGACCTTCTCCTCCAACTCGGCGATCTTCCACTAAGCCTGCTCATTCGACTCCTTGCCCGACTTGAGTAAGCCCTCGTGCTTAGCGAAGAAACCCTGGTAGGCTTCGGCCTGTTCGACCGGCTTCTCCTTCATTTTCTCGGACGCCAACCGGGCTGTCTTTGCATCCTTTCGGGCGGCAACCATCATGGCATCCATCCAGAGCTTCTCATCCGTCTGGGACCTGACCAGCTGGGTGGTCCACTCCAGCCCAATCTGGGAAGAAGAAACGACGCGACAACTAGGCGGCGGCATACCAGATTTTCATAAAAACTTTCCCGCCAACCATACCCGGGAAATTCAAAATTCAAGATTATTCAGACATTTGATTCCCGCCCTTGATGGTACCCACAATGTCGGGATCGGAGGACTCCTAGATGGATATAACCCACTGGTACCACCCGGCAAGTTTACAAATGCCCGGGGCACCGAAGTCTGGTCCTGCCTGACGTCACCAACCCCAGTAGACTGACTGGGTGGATGTCACTGACGTCCGAGAGATCCGAAGGCTAACCCCACATGACCTCACCAACCCCGGTAGACTGACCGGGTGGATGTCGAAGCTCAGACTTGTAAAATTGTGTCTTCATTCGCAGAGAAGGCTTGAAGACTAGCCTGCTTGAAGATTGCCCGGGTGGATGGCTTGAAGACTGCCCGGGTGGATGACTTGAAGACTGTCCGGGTGGATGGCTTGGAGACTGGCCGGGTTGAAGACTGCCTGGGTGGATGACTTGAGATGAACAATAGTGTTGAAAAGTGTATATATTTTCTATTATTATAAATATGAGTGAAAGACTCATAAAGAAGGGAGGCACAAAATAATCCGCACGGTTGTAAACTTGTAATCGGTCCCTACATTATTAATAACTACTCAGGTTACAGGTGTTCACACCTACAACCCTTCCGCTTTTCGTAACTTAGCATTACGTTGGTTTTACACGATCATTTTGTATAAAATTTAACATTTTCTAACAATTCTATAAACATATATTTCACCATTGTAAAAATTACTCCGTATTTTAAATATGCATATTAATTAAATTTTGTCTTATAAATGTGAAAATTTCATTTTTTTTTCAAAAGAGAAAAATGGAGAAGCTAGTTTAAAACTTTATTTTGGATGGAATTGAAGGAGAAAAGTGTATCTTATTTTGCCGAGCCAGTTTTGGAAAATGAAGAAGCTTCCTAAAAATTAAGCTCCTAATAAGCTTCTTAATAATTAATCAAAATAGTTCACATTTTCACTCGATCACATGCTCCCATTTCAAGTTCCATAATGGCATTACACATACTCTCCCGCCCGTCCTAAATTAATTCTTCTTATTTTCATTTTAGGTTATTTCAAATTAATCCATCACTTTCTTTTTTTGGAAACTTTTTTGTGCTTCACTTTTTTTCTCATTGTGAGTATTAATTTGGGAACGAGGGAGTGCTTTTTTTTGGATTGTTTTTTTTGTCCAAGTGAGTTTTGAAATGTCAAACTCTGAGTATTAATTTGGGATGAAGACAGTACTTTTTAACTCACACCTACCCGTTTAGTCGCTTACGAGGCGCCTGCATAACACCCCATCAATCCCCATCAAGCCCATGCTAATACTGTCGGAGTACATCTGTCTTAGAGAATTTGTCTAGCTCCGACGTTTTATAATCAAAATTGATAACTTTAACCATTAATTAATTAAATGCACAGTAAAATTTATGTACTCCTTCCGTCCCTTAAAAAATTTCCCATTTTGATTTTTAAAGGATTTAAGGGGAATGTATTTTGGTGTTGACTTTCCAAAAATGTCCTTTGATGTGATGGATAAAGTAGGATATGATGGGTAGATTAATAGAGAAAAAGTGCGATGTGATAGGTAGGTTAAGAATTAATAGGGTTAAAAGTGACTTTTTAATAGGAAAAGAGAAGTGTTTTTTGGGACGAATGAAAAAAGAAAGATGAAGGGTTTTGTGGGACGGAGGGAGTATTATATACAAGAATACTTTTATTAGATTTAATTTGTAAAACATTTTCAAAACATACTTTTAAATCTAGTTCATATACCATTTAATTTTTACTTAATTATAGGTAGTCAAAGGTTGATCATATGTCTTGTTTAATTGTAAAAGGTTAAAATTAGACAAATACTTAAATATGGAGGAACATTCTAGTCTCTCAAACAACTTTCAAAACAACACAAGAGCGAGGTGGTTAGGCTCCAAGGCTACTAAATTACTTTCTTACACCTATAAGGGGCTGTTTGTTTCAGTTTCTTAATGGTTCAGATATCTGAATGGTTCAGCACTTAATGGTTCAGACTATTTGTTTGTGAGCAGATGTCTGAATGGTTCAGACATTTGCCTCTAAATGGTTAAGTATTATACAGAGTCTGAATGGTTAAGACCTCTTATCTGAATTGATCCGACATTTGCCTCTGATTAGTTAAGCAATATACTAGCTCTTAATGGTTCAGACATCTTACTGGTTCAACACTTAATGGTTCAGACCTCTTACTGGTTCAGCACTTACCTATTCAGAAGTTGCCAAACAGCCCCTAAGTGTTGATGTGAAACTTTATCCACTTTAGAGAAAGTTTTAGCATTTTAATTTGTACTTCCTTCCATATGGCATAGGGGTGGGCATGAAATCCGTTCCCGTTAGACCGTTCCAAAAAATCCCGAACCCGTTTTGTAATTGTACCGAATAATTGGGACACCATTTTTTTTATCCCGAACCCGTTTCGTCCCATTATCAAATGGGACATGAGCGGGACAACTTAAATTTATACCGATCCGTCCCGTTTGTTCCATGTATCTACTCTATTAATATATAATTCTAATTCTATACACTTATTCTTTAATTAATTAAGTTAACTTCAAGTTTCAGCCCAAAATTTATTAAATTTATTTGGTCTTAACTTCAAAGTCCAGACTCTAGAGCCAAATTCCGTCCCATTATTAAGCTAATTCACTTTTAAAGTTTTAATACACAATTCTGTAAAAATCCAGTGGACAGTGGCTAATTGCTTGGTGTACAGAACTAGTTTTCAGATGTCTTTCGGAGTTAATGACTTTTATTTATGACATTTTGTAACTTTTGGATTGAGTACCCCCCTTCTTATATTCGGGATTAGGACAAAGTAGGATGACCCAAATCCGTCCCGGTTTGTTCCGATATCGAATTTTATGGGACAAACCGGGATAAGATTGTAATCCGAACCGTTCCGGACCGTTTATATATAACGGGACAAGACATGGAACAACCTAAATCCGGACCGTCCCGATCCGTGCCCACCCCTAATCCAAAAGTTCATTTTGTACTTCATTTGTAATCCAAAAGTTTGTAATCCAAAAGTTCAGTTTGATTCTCCTTTGTACTTCATTTGTAATCCAAAAGTTTATCCCGACATAAAAAGTGCAATACTGCATAATATCAGTTTTGAACTTACGTTTAATGTCAGCACAAATGCTTGAGGTACAAATAAAATTTTCTTTTTAAAAAACTCCCTTCGTCCCTCGAGATATGGGAGATTTTGATTTTTAATGGCTTAAAATTAAAGAAGATGTATTTTGAAGTTGAGTTTTTAAAAATGTTTTTTGATGTGATAGGTAAAAGTAAGGTTTGATTGATGTATTACTAATGAATAAATGTGATGTGTATATATATGTTAAGAATTAGTAAGGGTAATAGTGACTATTTAATAAGAAAAAAATTGGAAGGATTAAAAAAAGAAAGGAGAGAAAAGTTTTAACAAAATAAACATGTTGCATAGGTTGCTACATAGCTAGCTTCTCCAATTTGCATTCATTTCTTTCAATGTAGAATGAGCTCAGCTGATCTGATCGAACCCACCCAAATAGATACTTACTCCGTATTTCCCTAACTAATTAAACACCTCTTTGGAAAATTAACATGAAAGAAAGAAATAATGCTCAAATTGTCGCATTAATAACTGCTTGTAATATGTCCAACTTAAATTTTTTTGGGGCAAGGGGAGTACCAAACATTGATCTTTGACCATGGATTTTTAATATTTCTATAAAATAGGATAAAAAATATTTATTTACACAAATTTTAACATGACAGTTTTTCTTCAATATTTTAATTTTGGTATGAGGAGTCATGTACAGAGTATTATGTTCACAGGAGGCTTTAACCCTTGTCTTACCCATACCCTTGACATAAATATATAGTCCCTTCGTCCCAAATTCTTAGCATATTTTGAACAATATGTAAAATATCATCTCTTTTAAAATCATTTTATTTACAAATTTGTACATGAATAAAAAGAGCAAATCACACCGTTCAAAATTATATCGAAAGTTTTATAAAACATAATATTTTTTACCCAAAGTCTCTACAGTACTCCGTTGGTAAAATTAATGGTCCCTACCCCTACAACCCACCCCAGCACCCCCTACCCTCTCCCCCCGTAGATTGCCGATTTGGCAGTGCCAAATCAGCGATCTAGTGGGCAGGTCGATCCCGAGTAAACACACTCGATACTCGATGGGAGGGGCAATATGACCTAATTAAGTGTGACTAAACGTTGAGCAAGATTAATTGGTCGGTAAAGGTAGGATTCTGGAATTAAACCATTCATTTGTACCAAAAATGAATACGTAGTATATACGAGTATAAAATAAGTGAAATATTAATAGATTTTGCTAACATATTTTACAAAATATTGTGTTAAATATTCAATTTTTGCATAATTTTTCATACGAGTATAATATCACTCACTCCTTCACGTTCAAAAATAAGTTTACACATTCATAGTTTCATATCACGAAGTTTTTAAAAAAATGGAAACTGTTTACTGGAAATAGAAATATGTGTGATATAAAAAAATGACTTAAATAAGCTCTTATTTCTTGTAAAATAGGCAATTTTTATTGTCTCAGTAATTTTTTTGTTAAGTAATCCTTACAAATTTTTTATTTTGAAAATGGTCTTTAAACATGATAAGTACTTCTAATTCGATGACATAACACATTTATGATCGTGTCCCTCTCGCTTTTCTAATTTCTTACAACACAATTCTCATGTCGGAGATCGATCGTGTCCCTCATCGAATTATATCTAAAATATTTTAGATATGGAAATTTAACATGGATAAGGATACAATTTTATGAAGACATGAAAATTGTGTCAGTGGTAGTAGAAATGCAAGACTATGATGTTTAGTACAAAAAAAGAGAGTTGTACTATTGTATTCCTAATTAGATCCGCTAGTGAAATGTGGAATTTCTTACATATTTTTCATGGGCTAATAACTAGACCTCTCTTTTATACAAGGCCCAACACATATAATCATTTCGTGTATTGAAATCTATATAAAGATCGGAACATGGACCTTAGGACTACAAAATAACTTGTCTTAAAAAAATGTGTGATCTCAACAAATTAGAAGTAGAAATTAAGTTTAAGAACTATTTTCAAAATAAAGAAAATGAATTAACACTTTTTATAGGGATTAAAAGTTTTATTACTGAAATACTTAAATTTTATCTTATAAATGTCAATTTTTCATTTTTTTTAAAAGAGAAAAATGGAGAAGCTAGTTTAAAACTTTATTTTGGATGGAACTGAAGAAGCTTAGTTCCTAAAAATTAAGCTCCCAATAAGCACCGCCAGGGATGAGTGAATTGAGGAACTTGGGGCTTGGAGTATATGTATATATATAAGAGTATGTATTAATTACCCTGCGGCCCTTAGCTTCCCATAATTCACTCACTCACTTCATTAAGATTTCCATCTGATTCGGGGTTTTTTATTTTCTTGAATATTGATAAGCGCGTATATACACGCACGCTCGATATGGCCGCCCCCAAGGCGAAGAAGCTTGGGGCTGTGTTATTCCGATCAAAGAAGAGGCCGCGTGGAGGTCAACAACAAGCAACAATTCACAAGCGGCGGCGGACAATTGACAGCCGCGGCGGCGGGGGCGGAGATCTCTGCCGAAAAACCACACCACCGGCCACCAAAGCATTGAAGTCGTCGTCATCAAACAATCACAATTGTCGTCCAATAGTAAGAGCAGCAAGAGATGATGATGATCACGTGATCAATAAGATCGACAAAAAGACGCCACCGCCTGCGGCCGTTGAAATCCCACTTTCCCGCCCCATGGCCCTACGCGCCGAGATGATGAAGGTGCGGTACGCGGAGACAATCGCCAAAGGCAAGCAAGAAGAAACTGGGCGACCCGAATTGGAAGGCGGAGGAGGAGGAGGAGGCAATGAGGCTGCGGCGGCGGCGGCAGCAGATAGAAAGAGAAAGGGCGGCGGCGAGGATTGAGGTGGACAAGATTCAGAAGACCGTTGAGTTTAATGATGCTCATTCTCTGATGATTGACTTCTACCGTTTAATTTGTTCTTCTTGTTAGGTCAATTAATTACTTTCTTGAAATTAATTCGTTTCTTGAAATTCATTCATTCTTGTAAAGTTCTTACAACATTAATTGATGTAATCGCCGTAAGTTTAATGCGAGTTTTTTTTGGGGAATTTAGTTTCATTAATTTGAATTCAAAAGGATTCCTTCCGTTCCGTTCCGATTGGTTCGGAGCACAGGTTTCTTGATGAGTTGCGGTATTATTACCCTATTTTTTAGGGTAATTATGTTGTGTCTTGTTATATCCACGTACGTACACTCATCCATTATGATGTACGGAGTATTCCATTTATGTTAAAAAATACTCCTGAAATATTCTTCTCATTTTCTTTTTTGGTCCGTCTGGAAATATTCTTGCAATTTCCTTTTTTAGTATACTTTTTAAGGATAAATTTTAATAATACCCTTTTATTTTATCACTAATCTACTTTTTTAATACTTTTTTAATAAGAAATAGAGATTTAAAAGTTTATAGTATGTGTATTTTTGAAAATTTTGCATTTTTTTACTATTCCTTAATAAGCGTGCCAAGTCAACACGAAGCTATATTTCTTGATTATTTTAATTATTCATTTATAAAATTCATTTTGTAAATGAATTTTATGTATATAAAATAATCGTGTGACAAAGCGAATGAAATTTATTTTGATTATACATATAAAATAATCAATGAACTTTATAAATGAATAATCAAAATGAATTAAATTTATTTTTATATTAAATTTATTATGAATAAGCGTGACAAAAATATTTTATTTTATCAAATAATCATTGAAGCTATATATACATATAAACAAAAAATTTCATGATTTTGAGTAGTGAAGAATATAAATCATTGTGGGACGACGAAGGGAGTAAGTTTTTTTTCCTATTTCGATTTGTTCAGAACATAAATTTTTTGGCCTTGTTTATAAAAACATTTTTTAATAGCATGCATTATTTTGAAAAAATAATTAAATGATCTAAATTTAATTTGAAAACGTAGTATATCAACATAGTGTAAAATAAATTGAAAGAATGGGTTGTTTGGTAATAATATTTTCAATTAGCAACTAAAGTTGGGGTAAAATTTTTAAAAGTCTAGATTAATTTTAAAACTGCTAAAGCTCAAAGCTGTCATTAGATAGTTTTTTGAAAACATTAGTACTAAAAGTATGGGAAAACATAACTCTTGTTTCCAATATAAAAGTGACATATTTTTATCTCCAAAAATATTATTGTATTGTGACAATATGACACTGCATGTGTACTTATATTGTCATTCCATAGCATTTTCCATATTATATATTGGTAATATTGAAATTATCGTCATACTTTGAAGATAAAATAATTTAGTTCTTGTTTGTATTCTTTTTGTGTGTGTGTGTGTGTATATATATATATATGTTTTACTCATATGTTAGTTTTTTTCTCTTTATTTATTTATTCATTAATTGCGTGCATATAATTATTTCATTAATTGTACTCAAAGGACATGAAAAAATGATTATTTCAAAAACAGAATTAAACATTCTCAAATGTTCTAATAAACTACTTCTATTCAAAGCATGAACCAACAATAATGTGACTAAATTGTTTTCATTGGTGGCTTAAAAAAATATACTCCCTCCGTCCCAAAAAGATTTACACGTTTCAAAAAAATTGTGTCCCATAATCCCTTACCCATTTCTATTAAAAAACCACTTTTATCTCTTACTTTTTCAAACCCTACCTATCACATCATACCTTTTTCCTAATAATCTACATATCACATCCTACTTTTACCCATCACATCAAGGGTATTTTTGGAAAGTCAACACAAAATTATTCCTCCCTTAATTTCAATTTTAGTCAAAATGGGTAACACTTTATGGAACGAAGGGAGTATTAAAAAAAGCTACACAAAATAAAGTACTACTCAATCCGTCTCTCTATTACTGTATTAGAAAATGAAGTAATGTCACAAAATTTTTAAACCAAATTTTGTGTGATTGATATTGATCTTTCAAAAACAGATTAAATAAGTGAATATGAACGACACAAATTTAGACAAATATGATATGCGATCAAAATATAAAACTCTCTCTGTTACAAATTAAGTTGTTTGTTTACTATTCACGTTATTAAATTTTATTCGCTTTCTTTCCCTATTTTCACTACTCATTTCATAAAATAATATAATCATGCAACCTCTTGTTTTAAATAGTTTTTATGTAGTTTTTTTAGAGCAGCGGCAGTGGCGAGGGGTTTGGCTGCCACGCCACGCCACCTCAGCCCAAAGGGCAAAGCCCCACTTTTTTCTTTTTGCCTTGCAAGTAAGGTTTAATTTACCATGCACTCCGTGTCTTGAGCGTGGCATTCATATCTTTTTTTTTATTTTTTTTTGATAAAAAATAAACATCAATTTTTATTTGAGAAAGATTTTTTTTTGTAAAGTAATAGAATTATTTTTTACTTTCTTCATCTCGCAATAGATTATAATTTTTTCCCTCACCTCTCGATATCTTTTATTTATTTGTATGTTTTCTTTGATTATTTCATTAAAAAAAATTTTTCACGTCTTTTTTTGTAGAACTTTTGATGTAATTTTTAAATTTATAAGTTTTATTTTTAATTCTTATACCAATTTTTAAATGAAATGATTTTTAAAAATAGAGAGTTTTTGCATCGTAATTCTAAAATAATAATCTAAATTGAGATAAAGGAATAAATAAAATATGGAGTAGATAACAAAATCATTTTTAATAATTAAAATATATATATATAAAATTATTTATTTGAGTAAATAGAAATATTTTCATGATAAAAATATATAAGTAAAATAATTTTTAATAATTCAAATATGGCAAAAATATGAAAAAAAGTGATGAAAACAATGACTTGCCACTGTAAGGCATGCCACTCTACTCACGTGCCACTCATTGACTGGACTATTTTTTATTGGTTGAAATGCTCCACGTCAGCGTGTGGCATTTCATTTTTGTCTCACCATTGTTCATGCTCTTAATATTATATTCCCTCCGTTCTCAAAAACACTTCCTCTTTCATTTTTTTCACTTCCAACAAAATACTTCCACTTTCTATTAAATAACCACTTTTATCCTTCATTTTTCATACCCCACCTATCACATCATACTTTTTCTCTAATAATCTATCCATCACATCTTACTTTTACTCATCACATCAAGGGCAAAATTGAAAGTCAACTATAATTTTACACTTCCTTATTTTTATACTTAGACAAAATAGGAACTCTTTTTTAAAGCGGAAGGAATATAAGTTTTAAATTTTTAACTCTGTTCTAACTCTGATCTGAAAAAATTGTATTGAAAATAACTTTACTCAATCATCATAAATCAAAATAAACAATTTAAATTAGAACTGAGAGAGTAAGATCCAAAAAGGTCAAAGACAGAAATAATGGAACAAAGAGACAACAACTTAGTTCAATCGACTGGGTCAAAGAGAGTACTTGATTAAACACAATTTCTTCATTAATAACACATAATTAAAGAAAAAAGGTCGAAAGAAAGAAAGAAGGTAAGAAATGCGAGTTGGTTCACTTTGTGAATGACTAACATGAAATTTTTGAAGGGCGAAAATAATCCATATGAAAGTAGAACAATTTCATTGAAATCTATATAGAAAAAATATATACTCATATAAAATAAAATGTATTTACCTCATCCTATTTTGGAATGGTAATAAGAAAAGAGGAAAACAAATAAATAAAATATAGTCTTGTTTTACACTTTTACTCTCCTTTCTAAAAAAAAAATTACATATAACATACAATGACAGGTAAAGCAAAAACAAATGTGATCCCTACAAATAATATGAAGGGAACTAACTGTAAGCTTTGTCCAAACTATTTACATTGTTGCACCATCTCACAGAGCTGACAAAGGGTTTCTGAAATTGTTCCAAGACAATCAATGAGCTGATCCGCTTGGAGCCTCACCAGATCAGTATGATCAGCTGCGGCATACTTCAGTTCGCCTTCAACTACGGCATTGATGAGCTGTGCATTTTTGTGCAAAGTTAATAACGCCGCCATTCCTTTTTCACCTTCACAGGGCACTTGCTCAGCCACCTCCATGTTTTCGTCTCTGTTCTCTGGGGATTTGGCCTTATCATCAAGGACAAGGAGGGAAGGTTCATAATTTGTCTCCTGCTGAATCTTGGGAAGTTTGGGTTTTTCGTCCAATCCAATGCCGGGTAAAGCCGTTTCCTCTGCCCTATGGTTCTCATTGTTGCTTCTTCGACGTTGCTTCTTTGAGCCTAATAAAGTAGTTGATGAAAGTCATGGTTAGAGATAAAGAGATTTACACTATTAGAGCAGATTTCCTACTATTTACAATCCTTAACATATAAAGTAGGTAAAATAGGAAATACAGTATGCTGTTTGACTCATTTTCCTATATTTAAATCATAGAGTTATCAAGAAGTTACAGAGTAAATAACAAGATAAGAGTATATGCACGCGCGCACACACACCATGCATCGTATGAAATGCCCCCAAGTTACCACATTGCAGCATTAGTTCAAAATGTTTTTAATCACACAGTTGGGATTTAAGGAAGAATGAGATGCTTTATGCACTCATCAATTTATTATGTATATTAATGTAACTTCTATATCGGCATTGACTACGACTTTTTAGGTTGTAGAGACTAGACAATCAAATAGGGAAACAGTGCCACAACAATAAAGTTCCTTTTGTGCCCTCACAATGGTTAAAGGTAGCATTGCCTCAACGAATATGTGAAAGTGCCTCCTTTAGAACGTTACCATCCTCAGCATTTTTTTGTTGGGTAACTAGGACTGGCCTCTATGCCCCATTGTCAGGATCAACAATGAGCCTATCCACTCCATGAAAAGAAGTTACGAGAGGTAAAACATGGGAAAACGAATACCACAGCATCCACAACTTACAAGGATGTTTTTCTTGAAAGAAAAAACTTTCAAGTCGGTTTTCATACAAGTTCACCTACTGTTTTTCACAAACAGCTCCGCTTGCCTAGACATGGACCATCATTAGTAAACCAGTTTATATTGAACACACCACAAATGGATAGCGGTGTCGGGCCTAACTTTAGAACATATAGAAGAGTCAGTATCTATCTTGAAGCCTATTTGACTTTTCCAGTTTGTACAACATTGTCTAGTCTGGTGACTTCTGAGTTTCAAATGGAGGGTAAAAATGAGAAATTCATCTGACCCACTCGGGCAGCAGTAATAGACCAGTTTATCATCTTACTACTTAGTGCATTGGAGACAATACTAAATATGATATCCTTTGGAGTACATTTCTACGATTCAACATCAATATCTCAGACCCATGCAAGCAGAATTACTCCATCCTTGCCAGCAGGGGTGCCTTCATTTCCAAATGTAGTTCGCTTTCCCAAAGAGGTATTAAGGATTTACAGAAGATCCCGTTTTCCAGCATTACCTTTTAACAAAATCTTCAAAAAAGTTCAGACTTTATACAGATATGTAGTTTTCCTCCACCTTTAAATATCATTTGGTACGCTGAAAGGAATATATGACGCATTATGTGGGAGAAGAATATGTCGGGAGTAAAGAAGAATTTCAAACTCTGTAGGCTTAGCTGGTGGGAATGGAATCCTAAGACATAATTTTTCCACAGTTTAGTTTGCTTTGGAATAATGCACATTGATAACAAAATAAACTTTGTTAAGGGCAATAAAATACTCCCTCTGTCTTGAAAAAAAGTTCCATATTTTCTTTTTTGGTTGTCCCGAAAAAAGTTTCTCTTTCCTTTTGAAAAGAGAATTGTGTGGTTTACACAATTTCTTTCCTTTGAACAAAATCTACCACACACTTTCACCTTTATTAATTTTTATTAATTTTCAGGACAGGAGAACTTGGCAAGGACATTTTTGTCTAAATCACTATCCCTTTTCTTCTTTGCATGGAAAAAACACAACACCTTTGTGTCATGTTGGGGATCTTGGGGGAGGGTTATTCCTCACTTCTGAAAGGAAATATTACAAAGAGAAAAAGAAGACATGTACCAAACATGGGTGAAATATGTCTTCGGTAATAAAGTGGGAAGGAAAGACTTTCTCTTCTAATAAAAAACAAATAAAGTTTGTGTCTCAGTAATTAGTACAATAGTGTAGTAAAGAATGCTCAGACCCTACACTTGTGGTATCCAACTGGGTTGTTGTTTGTTGTAGTACAGAATGTACAACTTTTTAGGACAATGTGACTGCCTGAAGCACGAGGCACCGTGATATTATTTTCCATGGCATGTACTTACTGCTACATAGAAACAAGGGAACATTTACAACAGAAAAAAACCATTTTGAGGAACTCCCTCCATCCCACAACTAAATTGACGGTTTGACTTCACAAAATTTAAGAAAAGTTTAGAAAAGTGAAAAGTATGTAGTTGAAGTTTTTATACAAAAGAGAAATATTTGTGAGCCACGTAAGGGTAATATTTATTTTGGGATAGATGGAAAAGGTAAGTGTAAACTTAATTCAGGGATAGAGAGAGTATATTTTCCATCCGTCCCTAAATAATCTTTAAATTTTGACTTTACAAAGAGTTTCAGAAATATGAAATCATGTGGTTGAAATTTGTGCCAAAAAGAGAGAATGAGTTTGAACAATAGATTTAAAAAAAAGAAATGATAAGATTAAGTAGGGGCATCCAAAAAAGGAAACTGGAAGATATAAAAATAGACAAAGAGAGTAAAATTTGTTCTCTTCTACTTTTTCTTTTTGCTTGTGAATTATTCTTGTTAGAATCAAATCAGAAACAGCTTTAAATATAACTAGAATCATACTCCCTCCGTCCCCATTCGTCCACTTTCATTTTGACACACAAACCAATGTAATGAGTAAAAAGACACAATTACCCTTGAACTACCATGCTGATTTCCTCCGCCATCCAAGCCTCCTTCAACCGCCCCAGCATATTCCCCCTGCCAACCCAGCCTCCCAATCCGTCGTCACCCCAACGGTCTCCCCCATGTATATGATGTCCAGCCACCACCCAAGTTAGCGCCGATCAAAGTTTAAACAAAAACTTGCTAGAGTAGAGACATTATGCTAAGATGAGAAACCAATCGAAGTAGAACACAAAACCCCACATTCTGATCTAGAATTAGCTCTAGATTTTAGAAGAAACATTAGATCTGGATTTCGAAACAGAATACAAGCCCCGATTTCATAACAAAAGCAAATTAGGATTTACAAACTAGACATTAAATTTTAGATCTAGATCTTGAGAAGACATTCGGCCGCCATCGGAGAAGACATCCGCCCGCCATCTCGCACTATTAGTTGTCTTTTTCAAAGATATCTCACTCTGGCCATATTGATACTCTGTATGTCGGAGAAGACAAGATGAGGGAGACCAATGGAGAGACATGAGACCATGAGAGAGAAGGGGATTGGGTTTGATTCAATTGTTGGAAGAATTGGACATGAGACCATGAGAGAGAAGTGTAAATGACAAGGGCAAATTGGACATTTAACATTATTTTTCTTACCTTAATAGGAAAGTGGACAAATACTGAGGGACGGCTCAAAAAGGAATACTGGACGAATACTGGGGGTCGGAGGGAGTATTAAATAAAATCAAAACTATAACCGATCAGAACTAATCAGATAAGTTGAAGAGAACACGCTCTAAGTATTAACTCTCTCACAATCTCTAGACAAGCCTTATACCAAATCTTAGGACAGCGTATAAACTAGTTTTCTCTCTTCCCTAACTTTAACGAGTTATCCTTGGCTTTGATAACTCACACCTACGGCTAATCTCAAATAAATTCCAAGATAGGACAAGTGGGCAATATGTGGCTACCGGTACTACGCTAGCGAAAAGAAGGAACATACATGGTTGATTCGTTATTTTGTTTCCTCGTTCAAACTATTGACTCCCAAAAAAAGAATGAATTATGAGAAGCATTAAAGCCATCACGTCAGATTTATCCAAAATAAAAGCTGGAAACAATTGGCAATAACAGAAACAATAGAAATGAATAAAAGGAAATGATCAAAGACTGGTTTCTATATATATATATATATATATATATATATATATATATATATATATATATATATATATATATATATATATATATATATCTCCAAGGTGCTAGTAGAACTTCTAAGAAAGAACAAATGCATATTCACTTAGAATGATACACTATATATCCGGTATCCAAATGCACATTAACTAAGTTAGAATTTTACTCCATATGTTTTCGTTATTCCATTTTTCAGTGTAACTCATGAACATGCCATCTGAATCCAACATATCAAATTGAACAATCAGCAAAGAAATCAATCGTATAAACCAAATGCAGTATAAGATGGACCAACTCAAGCTTATGCCATCTACATTGCATATACTGACCTTACTGCTACATAGTAAAATGGGAACATTTACAACAGCAAAAAACCATTTAGAAGTACTCCCTGCGTCCCACAACAGAATTGACGGATTGACTTCACAAAATTTAAGAAAAGTTTTGAAAAGTGAAAAGTATGTGGTTGAAGTTTTTATACAAAAGAAAGAAATTTGTGAGCCACGTAAGTGTAATATTTATTTTGGGATAGATGGAAAAGGTAAGTGTAAAGTTAACAGAGGGATAGAGGGAGTAATTTTCCCTCCGTCCCTAAATAATCTATCAACTTTGACTTTACACGGAGTTTCAAAAATATGAAATTATGTGGTTGAAATTTTTGTAGAAGAGTGAGAATGAGTATGAACAATAGAATTTTTTAAAAAAAGGAAATGATAAGATTAATTAAGGACATCCAAAAAAGGAAAGTGGAAGTTATAAAAAGGGACAAACAGAGTAAGAGTTCGTTCTCTTCAACTTATTCTTTTTTCTTATTAATTATTCTTATTAGAATCAAATCATAAACAGCTTTACCTACAACTACAATCAGATCAAATAAAAACAGAACTAAATCGATCAAAACTAATCAGATAAGTTGAAGAGAACAAACGCTAAGTATTAACTCTCTCACAATCTCAAGACAAGCCATACACCAAATATTAGGATAGCTTATAAACTAGTTTTCTCTCTTCCCTAAATTTAACGAGTCATCCTTGGCTTCAAAAACTCACACCTATGGCTAATCTCAAATACATTCCAAGATAGGACAAGTAGGCAATATGTGGCTACTGGTACTACGCTAACGAAAAGAAGGAACATACATGGTTGATTCATTTCCTCATTCAAACTATTGACTCCCAAAAAAAGAATGTATTATAAGAAGCATAAAAGCCATCGCGTCAGATTTATTCCAAATAAATGCTGGAAGCAATTGGCAATAACAAAAACTCTAGAAATGAATAAAAGGAAATGATCAATGACAGGTTTCTGTGTGTGTGTGTGTGTGTACGTATACATCCAAGGTGCTAGTAGAACTTCTAAGAAAGAACAAATGCACATTCACTAAGAATGATACACTATCCGGTACCCAAATTCATATTAACTCAGTTAGAATTTTACTCCATATGTTTTCATTATTCCATTTTTTAGTGTAACTTATGAACATGCCTACCCATTTTATCGTTCTTGGCTAAATTTCAGTGTATAAGAAATGCCCGGAATTAGAAAATAGGGTTCATACATAGTGTAGCAGGGTATGCCATCTGAATCCAATAGATCAAATTGAACAATCAGCAAAGAAATCAATCGTATAAACCAAATGCAGTATAAGATGGAGCAACTAAAGCATACCACTTTCCAGAAAGATGGAATCATCAAACTGAGCTTCAGGATCACTGTCAGGGTCCGTATCAACCCCGCTTGCCTCCTTCCCCTGTATTTTTTTCACATAAGCATCAATTGCTTCGAACAACTCCAAACAGAAATCCCCGGGAAGCCCTAAATCCGTCCTCCGCTCGTCGTCAAACGACACCGTCCCGTACTGAGACTCCCATTTCTTTGCCTTCCGGTAATCGTCGAGCAACGATTCCCACTTCCGCTTGCACTGGTTCATGCTCCGGTTGACGTCGAGGGCGTTGCAGTGGGCGACAGTGAGCTGCCACTTCTGGAAGGACGACATCGTGCCGCCGCACTCCGCTTCCACGGCTTTGACCTCGTTCACCAGCGTAAGCGATTCCTGCGCCGTCCAGTCCGGCGCAGCTTGCGACCGGGTGCGTCGTGAACCTCTTTCCATTTTCCGATTTAAGCAGATCCAACGCCTTACACAGATGGAAATGTTGAGGAAAACTAGATAATTGTCTACAATAAGTTTTGGCTTATAGAGAGTGTGTATTCAATAAGAATATTACTCCGTCCATCCCAATTTATTTGCAACACTTCGAACGACGTGTAAAATATCATCTCTTTTAAAATCACTTTAATTTCAAATTAGTAGAGTAATAAAAAGTAAAAATTATACCATTCAAAAGTATATGAAAAGTTTTACAAAACAAGATGCGACAAGAATATTTTATTCTATCAAATGGTTAACCAAAATGAGTAAACAAACAAAAGTTATCGAAAGGCTAGAATAGTAAACGTGACATTCTTTCTAGACTGATAGGGAGTATGAATTTTTTTGGATAGTCAAAGCCGACAGACATTCAAATGAGATTTTAAAAAATTATTTCAAATCTATATATATTCTATTTAGATTTTAAAAAAATTTTCTAAATGTAATAGTACTAAAAACTTGATAGATTATCTTAAGTTCTTACGGAGTATAAAACATGATTTTGAGAGATTGTTGGCTCGGAGTATAAATAGAAGTCCAGCTTACAATTCTTAAGTAAAAGCTATAGTTTTGCGATTCCTCCATCTTCTCCTGTGCACGGTTCTTTATCTTCTCTGTGATTCCCCAATCTTCTCCTGTGCACAGTTCTTCATCTTCTCCGCAATTCCTCGATTTCTCCTGCGCACGAATCTTCATCTTCTCTGACATGGTTCTTCATCTTCTCCCATCGATCTAAGTGCTGGACTCTGTCGCTACTCCTCATCTTTCCGATCCATTCACTTCGTCACTCCAATAATAAGGTAAGGTCTCTTTATCTTCAAGATATTATATTAATGATGTTGTGTGAATTATTTGTTGTCGGTATAGCTATATCTCTTTCCCTATATATATTCAATTTCTTCAAAATGGTTTGAAGTCTTCCTGATATCAAGGAATTTTATGTATAGTTATACTTTTTTCCCTTTTGTGTATTCTTGTTTGAATTTTATGTATGATTGGATGTTTTCGTCCACTCATTTATTGTTGATATTTCCTTCTTTTAGGTTCAAGAGAGATTTTTGTAAATAGATAGGAATTGATTTACCTAATTAAAAGAGCTTGCCTTGGTCACCAGATCTTTTAACTTATCTAAATTAGTGCTGTAAATCAAATGAAAAATAATAAGGTCACAACCATATATCCCTTATAACACCCGAATTCGTTCAGATCTGCAGTCCATTTTGGATTAAAGTATTGATTTGGTAACATCACAATTTAAAACTTTACTTGAAACAAATGTGCAAAATATTTAGAATAAGATCAGAGTATAAATATTTAAAACAATGCGAAAGCAATCTGCATATTACAATAGTATGGTCAACCAATAATTTAACATGTGATAAAATCATTACTCAGATATTAAGTTTGTGCACATTCACGCATCGCCTCCATCTCAGTATTCTCCAGGATATGCTCCATATTTATTCCCTCTCATACCTAGGTGTAAAAAGATGCATGAAAAGGTCTACACGCTCAGCAATGAAGCTGTGTGGTACCATGACACAACAAAAGAATTCACAAAATAATTTCTATCACAATATCAATCTATCACATGTATCCGTTCAACCACTCACTTTTTCGTATTTAAAAACCGTGTTTGTTATTTTGGTAATGAATATAGTCAACTAAGAAATAACATCATAATCAATACTCCCTCCGTCCCGGAGTATTTGTCCAGTTTTGACTTTTAGAACTGTTCATCTAAGCACTTTGACTCATCAAATTCTCTCAATGTGTAAGCCTATATATAGTCATGTGTGATCTTGTTTGATTTGTCTTAACATATAGATTATTAATATATAATTTCTATAATTTTTTAATATACAAATTACAAGATAAAATGGATTAAAGAAGTGTATTGGATGGTGTGTAAAAATGAAAGTAGACAAATACTCTGGGACGGAGGTAGTATTTAATAATAATCATCATCATATAACATCTATGACATGTAGCGATTTAACGTTGAGTGTTAATTTAATTTGCTAAATTACCATTATTCATTGATTTAATTTTTAGAATTATTGATCAAAATTTTAATTTGAGAATGATGGCAATAATGGTTTATAGTTGAAAAGTAATAAAATAGAATTTTTTTAAATTTTTAAATTTGGATTTTTCAACATAAGAATAGTCTATGACGGTCGGTTGTTTTGTGCGGCAATTGACCGTTACCGTCACTGTGCTACTGGGCAAACGACGGACGACCGTTACCACCAACTATCCACCGTTCCGCTATAAGGGAACACTACTTCGTCTTCAACCTCGGTTCAAGCTTCTAAAATACCATTTTAAGCTACCAAAGTTCATTTTAACTATATAAAAATGATCTCTAGCATTCATAGATTATTTTAAACAACTTTATTCGAAGCTTGAACAACAAAAACAAGTTTGATGATCACGAGTATAAAAATATTCATATTTTCAAATATATGCGAATTAATATGTTCAAGGGCCATTCCTAATTACATTCTAATATTGTTTAAAATCATGAATATCTACGAGATGAATCTCATCGAACGAACGGAAGCGAAAACAATGTCGGAATATATGAAATTCGTCACTTTCCGTCGTCACAGCTATACCAATGCTGGTATTCCGACCATATCTCCTTCGTTACTCAACAAAATCGCAAACAGTGTGAAGCTACGGATTCGTAATACACGAGGCTACAACTTTAGTGAAAGAAGAAGATTAAAATAACAAAATTTAGAGGGACTAATATTGCTTACAAGTGGACTGATTTGCATAGGGTTCTTCTTCTTCTTCAACATTTTGGTGTAACTTCTAGCAACAACCACAGCTTACTTCGGAGACTTCGACGAAGGCGATCCCTTATGGTCTATTCTCTATACTCTATCGAAACTATAGGAATAAGAATATAATGAAGAAGATTGGTAGAGATTTGAAGGAGAACAATAAGCATCCTTATTAAATAGAGTGGTGGAGGAGGAAAAGACCAAGGAAGAGGCATGTGAATCCCTAACGTGATTTCTCCGATCAATTCAAGTGGCTAGCGGAGGAGGCTGCGTAATATATAATTCTTTCCTCTTTTTTATTAATTTATCACAATTTAGGTATACTTTTTTGGGAGAAAGACTAAAGTAGGACTAAAACATTGAAAATATACCAAAATAGGACTTCCATGTTTTTATTCCCAAAATAGGACTTACATTACCAAACATGGTCATATACATTACCAAAAAGTATAGTAATCTGCACATGTACACTGCCACATTACCACAATGCAAAGTCACATTACCACAGTGCAAAGTCCTATTTCAGGGAAAAAAACATGAAAGTCCTATTTTGGTACTTTTCTCTATGTTTTAGTCCTATTTAGGGTGATTTCTATACTTTTTAATCCAACTTTCTCCAAATTAAAATCTAATTGCACCGTTGCGATCAGACAATTAAGCTCTACGCAACGATATAATTTTCATATTTTTTTCTGAAATGCTTTTTCTGACATCATATTTTTGGTGTTAAAATTTGACAGTCAAAATTCATTTAATTTTTTTATAATTAAAAATATCATCATATTCAATTAATATTATTCAATCTAATGATTAATTCCAATAATTCATTTTTCAAAAGTTCACATGATTAATCATTTTTTGATTTTATACAAGTTACATATATATTTTAATATTTTAAAAATGTCATGACTCAAAATTTGTACATCAGATTTGTTCATGAAAAAAACCTTTGGATTCGTCTCTTCGAGACTTATCCACAAAACTCAGTTTTAGTAAAAGATCATTAACCTTAAAAATTCTTTTATTTTTGGTCAAACACAGAAAGAATACTTTGTTCGATCAAAATATAGTTTCAAAAATACTTTTATCATAAAATAACTTTTAGGCCATATTTTGGTGTGTTACATTTCTTCTCCCCTTAAAGAATTTTCGTCCTGAAATTTCCTAAGGTAAAAAGTAATTCACAAAATGATGAGTACAACACGTTTGTTGTAAAAACATTTATTTTGCAAAAGTTTTTTTGTACTTTTTTTAGTAGACAATGACGTGTTTTCATTCGAAATAAGAGAAATGCGGCTGACAGATAAACGTGTTTCGACTTCTCCTGATTGAACTTCACCAAGTATCTTTACCATATTCTCTTATAGGATTCTTCAAAAGTTCTTTTATGGTTGCGTCTTACAACTTGTATATGTTTCTTCTCACTACGTAAATCTTCTAGAAGCATGTTCAGAGGACTCCTCGATCTGGAATGTTGTTTCAGTGAATGCTTTACTATTTGTCATTCTAAACAAATAATTATTTTTACATTTGGCGCTTTGAACTAAAGTTATATAGCGATGATTGTGAATAGTAATCATCATAGTAGTCACTCTAGGTTTTATCGGTAGATGGCTAAATAGGATTTCATAACTCAAAATTTCCAACTGTGAACCTTAATAAGGTTGCACTGACTCACGTAATATCAATAAGTAGATTTCACATCATTTAAGTAAGCTGATGACATTAAATATGTTAAAGTTATTTATATACAACAACATTTATTCATATCATACCACAATATTTGGATCAATTTCTTAGTAACAATTGTTTATCTCATCAAGATGATATTTAATCAATAATTTTCAACTTTACATTTTTTTAAGTGAAGATTTTCATTTTCCAATACGCAAAGCATTCTTCACGATTTTTTTATATCTTTAAAAGACAAAAATACTAGATTTTGCCATCAACTTATCTTTTTATGTTAGCTCAAAGAGTCTTAAAACACATATTTTTATAAATATGTGTTGAGATTAATATCAATGTCTTTGTCACTATCTTTTTTTTTAAAATAATTCCTTTTGACAGCATTAACAACATATTTGTGTCGTTAAACATACCGAAAACCTTTCTTTGAATTCCCATAATAAACGAAATATAATTTATTATAGTATCACTGATACCACATAAAATTTTATTTCTACTGGTTTGAAATCATTTCAGAGTAAAAAATTTCAAAGAAATTTTATCTGAAAAATAATATTACATAATCAACATGTTTTCAACAATCATTAAAATTTGATGAGTTTCAAAAATACATATAAAAAATACTTACATGAAGTTTTTAACAAATCTGTTTTGGATGACTTTCAAAATTAGCCCCAATATTTTCTTGAGTAATTTCACTATTTTCTTTAAGATTAATTACTTCAATTCATACAATAGCTTCAAATACACATTTTTTATATATACAATATAGAATACTTTATGAAATAATATTCATAAAGAATTAACCATATTCAGAAGAATGTCATATTTATCAAAATTTGGTTTATAATTTAGTCAAATTTCAAAATAACTTACAAGTGGATAACAATATCTATTAATTTATATCGTTTCATTAATCATTTCGAATAACTCTTTTGAAAAAGAAATATTTGTCAAATAACTTTTTGTACTCCGTATGAAAGTAATCTATATCAAGTGTTACTTCAGAACAATTTGATAAAACCATTTGATCTTGACACAATTATATCAATAATAAGAAAAATCAATTTCTTAAATTTTTTTATATAGCAATAAAAATTATGGTTAAACACATACTAATTTAATAAAATGGCTTGACAAAACAATTTCATTAAAATTCTTATGAGAATTAAAATTCAATGATTTTGTTATATCAACTTATCACTTGTGTTCTTAAGTAGAGGCATTTGTAGTCACATGGTTTAGTGGGGCAAAAAAAAGTTTCTCAAAACATTAGATATTCGAAACAATTGAATTGGTATAAACATTTTAAACAAGATATAAGGAGTTTGCACAAACATTTTTTATAAATCATCTTTGTTTTAACTCATCATATAAAAGCTTTTCAAAATTAATGTTTATTTGAAACATCTTACAACATTTTTTGGTATAAAAATAGTGACTCATAATGGTTGTTTGACTCAAATAACTTTTTGAGACTAAAAATATTGATCAACATTATTTATTGGTATAGATCTCCCAAGTGGCTCAAAATAACAATTGTTTTTAAAAATACCTTTCAAAAGCTCAATATCACATTCTTATCAAAATGTTTATAAGGCATGTTCCAAGTTTTCGACCCACAAGTATTTCAAAAACATTCTCATAATGATTTTTTAAACACTGCAAAAACAACAATCTTTTATGAAAGTCTTTATTTGAGCACACTAACACATAATCTTGGAGAAAAATTATTTTCTCTAAATAATACTTTCAAAAACTTTTGTTCATCAAAATCAATATTTTACTCCCTTGTATATTTCAAAGTATAAAATACAGAGTAATATCCATAGTCTATAATAACAATTTACATAATCTTTTTGAAATACTCATTTCTTTGTAGAACATTTTATAATGATATTTGGGAAACAAACAAATACTTCAATACTTTTTTCCAAATATTTAATTCTTTTCAAGAATTTAAATATATCGATTTTCAAAATCATCCAGTATATACTTTTGTATAACCAACTTTCATTTGTAAAATATTTCAAATAAAATTCATTTTTTTGTAAGTAATCTCTACTTCTAACAATGACAATATCCACTAGATATTTTTTTAAACAAATAACACATAATCATATAAAATAATAACTTATTACCTTCCTGGAGATGAGATGAAGTGGAGGATGCAGGCGCACAATTTTGAAATTAATTTAGTCAAATGGTCTGAAAATCAATTTTTAAATTGTTTACTTCGATACCAAAATGTAACACCCCATCTAGGTTTGAAACCCTTTTCAGAGTAAAATATCAATTTGGTAACATCACAATTTAAAACATTTAAAACTTTATTTAAAATAACTATGCAAAATATATGGAATAACATTGGAGTATTGTAACGCCCTGCAACTCGGTCTAATAGAATTGATTAATTTAATTAATTAATTACTGTTCCGGACCGGAGTTGGGGAAAATAAAAAGTTCATAGAAAAATTATTTGATCATATCATTAAATTCGTTTTGACTGTCTGATTCCAGAAACGTTAATGGATCTCAATTCGGACCCATTCGGGGGGAAAAGCGGGTACCGTTCAGGTCAGATTTTTACATAACGGAATAAAATATATTTGTAACCCCCCCAAGCCTTGGTTCAGCCCCCTCAATATCACCATCATTGCCCATTAATTCTCATCATTGTTTTTATTTAAAAACCCCAACCCATTCCCTTCCTCCTTCACTTTTTGTAACCCCATATTCAACACACATTCATTCTCTATTCCCTTTCCTCTTGTTCGGCCAAGGCAGCAAGCAAACCAGGGAGGATTCCGGCGAGTAGACGGAAGGTAGAAGAGGAGGAAAGGCACGCAGGAGGTTGTCCGTTCGTCCGTTCGTTGGTTCGTTGCTAACCGTTCGTTCATCTCGTCTCATAGTTTCGTCAACCCCTTCGTTTAGAGGTGAGTAGTTGTTCCCTCTAACTCTAGAACATTTAGTTATAATCTATGTCGTTGTATTCATAAAAATATCGTATGCAACCTACGTAGATTCTATGCATGTTTGTAGGTTAATCATCAAAAACGTTGTAGAATTAATAAGGGAGAAAATATTCTGTATATTGAATTGTTCTTCCTAGTTACAAGAGGTTTCTCCTTTATTTATAGGAGAGGATAGATTCCCAAAATAGACAGGGAAATACAAATCCTACAAGGAAATGAATCAGTAATCAAACTAGGAAACAAATGAATCAAGATCAATTCCAGTTAGAATGGGATTCGGTCATCTCAGGATTCGGATTTCTCGAGATTCGGATTTCTCGGAAATCGGACCTCTCGGAAACCAGATTTCTCAGAAACCGGATTTCTCGGAAATTGGATTTCTCGGAAAAACGGATTTCTCGGAAGTCGGACTTCTCCGGATTCGGACCTCTCTGGCCAATAAACGTTCACTACATAGACTTATATATACATCAAAGTTGTATTATCATTCTAAAAAGAATCAAGGTGTTAAGTTTGCAAAATGGGACAAAACGGAGCCAAAGACAGAAGACCGTTCCGCGGGCAGTTTTGCATGAAATGTTAATCCTCATTATTTTTGTTATTTAATTGATATATTCTTGGCGTTGACCAAAGGTAAATATATCAAGCATTCATCTTGTTCATTCTAGACACATGTCCTAGGTGGTTACATCATGTGCATACCGCTGTAGGGAGGTCAGGCTGTCGTGCGCCTACTACAGTGGGCCCGTCTTGGAACCTGTGGGATCCAACGGGTTTTCATCATGTGGGCCTTGTGTACGTACATAGTAGTTAGGTTACGGCTACTACCCGGTTTTGCTAGTCCACTTGCGACATCTTTGTCGTGCCCGGCTCGTTACCGTTCGGGTACGATAACCGGAGTGCAGGGGTGATCCTGTCGAGTGAGACTAAGCCAGGGGTGTCCCTGATAGTTTAGGTCATACATCCAGTCATATCATCATCATGTATGTTTCCATTCATCTTGTTATATGAAATAGTACCCCAACAGGGGAAAACTAATCAGTCAGTAAACATGTGGTTTCCTTACGGTAAGTACATGTATTAATATGTATGTAACCATATAGGTTATCACTTTATGTTCTTTTGTTAGATTCACGGATCCTCAGCTTTTGCTGAGCGTGTAGTTGTTTTTGCTACACGCAGGTAGACATGACGGTACATGTGCTAACCCTGGAGTACAGTGATGATGGGAAGATGGGTGGCGATGTGACAAGTTTAATTATTAAATACGGAGTACATTTTATTTACCATTTGGGCAATAACCCTCCATGTGTCGTTGCTACTTATTTTGGACTTACTTATTTACTTCCGCTTTTACTCTGCATTTATACCACGCACATTTTGGGGATAACTCCCTATCATTTATTTCACTAATTAAACACAACCGTTTCCATAATTAAATAAGCATTAATGTTTTTCGCTACGGAAGGTTCTCGGACCGCTCATGTAACCCTACCGGTCCGTTGGGTAGCGGGTGAACCGGGTCCACGGAAGGCGGGTGTTACAAGTATAATTATGTACACATGCAATGTCATATTGTCACACTGCAATAATTTTTTTGGAGATAAAAATATGTCACTTTTATATTGGAAACAAGAGTTATGTTTTCCTATACTTTTAATATTAATACTTTGAAAAAACTATCTAATGACAGCTTTGAGCTTTAGTTTTTTAGAATTAATCTAGACCTATAAAAATTTTACCCCAAATTTTAGTTGCTAATTAAAAATATTATTACCAAACAACGCATAAACCTAAGTTTCGCAACACTACCTTTACACTATGTTGACACACTACGTTTTCAAATTAAATTTAGATCATTAAAATATTTTTTCAAAATAATGCATACTAATAAAAACGTTTTTATAAACAAGCTAAGGCCAAAAAATTTATGTTCCGAACAAATCGAAATGGAAAAATAAACTTACACCCTCCGTCCACAGTGATTTACATTCTTCATTATTCAAAAATTATGAAAACTTTTGTTTATATGTATATATACGCTTATATGTATATATACGCTACACAAATATTGACTTTTTATGTCATAAATCTTGCCACAAATACATTCCTTACATCAAATTTTGCCACAAATACTTTTTGTAACGGGGTATTTGTGGCAGATTCTAGAATCTGCCCAATTATCTTAGCTTGTTACAAAAAGTCAAATTTTTTTGTAGTGATATTTTCATTAAATATTTGTTAAAATAAAATATTTTTGTCATCTCTTATTTTGTATTAGTAAAATTTTTTATATATTTTTTAAACATGCAAGTTTTAATTTATATTTTTATACTAATTGTTAATTTTTTATATATACTTTTTAAATTGTAACTCATTTAAAAAGAAAGGAGGTATTTTTTAACATAAATGGAATACATTTTATCATAATGGATGAGTGCACGTGGAAATAACAACTCACAACATAATATCCCTAAAAAATAGGGTAATAATACCCGCAACTTCCGAAGAAATCGGAACGGGTATACGGAACGGAACGAACCAACGGTATTCAATTAGTGAAACTAATGTTGTAAGAACATTACAAGAATGAATGAATGAATTTCAAGAAAGTACTCCGTAATTAATCTAACAAGAACAAATTAAAGTGTGGAAGTCAGCAATCAACAAGGAATCCTATTGAATTCAAATTAATGAAACAAAACTTGTGTTCCGAACAAATCGGAACGGAACCAACGGAATTCAATTAATGAAACTAATGGTGTAAGAACATTACTGCATGTACAAGAATGAATGAATGAATTTCAAGAAAGTGATTAATGTTACCCTAAATTAACAAACGGAGTGCAGTAATTAATTGACCTAACAAGAAGAACAAATTAAACTGTAGAAATCAATCATTAGGGAATGAGCATCATTAAACTCAACGGTCTTCTGAATCCTTTCCACGGCGATCCTCGCCGCCGCCCTTTCTCTCTCTATCTGCGGCTGCCGCAGCCTCACTGCCTCCTCCTCCTCCGCCTTCCAATTCGGGTCGCCCAGTTTCTTCTGGTTTGCCTTGGCGATTGTGTCCGCGTACCGCACCTTCATCATCTCGGCGCGTAGGGCCATGGGGCGGGAAAGTGGGATTTCTACGGCCGCCGGCGGCGGCGGCGCGGCTGTTTCCCGAATGAGACGGGTCGTGTGATGCTGAGGGATCGGCGTCCTTTTGTCGATCTTCTTGATCGCATGATCAGCATCTGTTGCTGCTCTTACTATTGGACTATTGTGATTGTTTGATGACGACGACTTCAGAGATTTGGTCGTCGGTGGTGCGGTTTTTCGGCAGAGATCTCCGCCCCCGCCACCGCGGCTGTCAATTGTCCGCCGCCGCCGCTTGTGAATTGTTGCTTGTTGTTGAACAGCAGCTTGACCTCCACGCGGCCTCTTCTTTGATCGGAATAACACAGCCCCAAGCTTCTTCGCCTTGGGGGCAGCCATATCGAGCGTGCGTGTATATACGCGCTTATCAATATTCAAGAAAATAAAAAACCCCGAATGGAAATTTTAATGAAGTGAGTGAGTGAATGAATATGGGAAGCTAAGGGTACGGTACATACTCTTATATACACTCCAAGTCCCAACTGTCTCAAAACACTCATCGCTCGCGGTGCTTATTGGGAGCTTAATTTTTAGGAAGCTTTCTTCATTTTCAAAAAATGAAAATTCTTCATTTATAAGACAATTTACATTTTTTGACAAAATTATTAAATTTTGAAGATGTATTGGGAGCTTAATTTTGAAAATGAAGAAGCTAAGCTTCCTAAAAATTAAGCTCCCAGACAAAATTTAATACATTCTTTGACAAAATTTAATAATTTCAAACAAAATTTAAGAATTTTGTATACATTCTTTGACAAAATTTATATTTTTTGACAAAATTCTTCATTAATGTTAGTGCTAATTTTTATGTTGCTGTAATGCTAATTTTTGTTAACGCACCAACACTTTGTGTCAATGTAAACCATCAAAATGTTAGTGCATACTTTTGATGTACAAATGAGGTACAAATTTTGGGTACATGTAACATGCTCCATAGTTCAATAAAGACACGATCTCCGACATGAGAATTGTGTTGTACGTAGTTAGAAAAGCGATATTAGGATGTTTAGCATGAAATACATTTGTTATGTCATAAAATTAGAAGTGCTATCCACGTTTATGGATCATTTTCAAAATAAAAAAAAATTGAAAGGATTACTTAACAAAAAACTATGAGACAAAAAATAAAAATTAAAAATTATCTATTTTACAGGAAATAAAAACATATTTAAGTCATTATTTTATATCACACATATTTCTTTTCCAGTGAACATTTTCCATTTTTTTAAAAACTTTGTGATATGGAAGTATGAAAATATGAATATTCAAACTTATTTTTGAACGTGACGAAGTGTGTGATATTATACTTGTACGAAAAATTATGCAAAAATTGAATATTTAACACTATTTTGTAAACTGTTTTAGCAAAATCTATTCCACTTATTTTATACTCGTATATATTTATTTTTTGTACAAATCAATGGTTTAATTATATTCCAGAACCTACCTTTACGGACCGATTAATCCGGTCAAGGTTTAGCACACTTAATTAGAGACTTCGGACAAAACAAGTTATGTGTTATAAAACTTTTGATTTACTTTTGAACATAGTGATTTATACTTTTTGTTTTTGTACCAATTTATAAATAAAATAATTTTAAAAAAAATACTACGTAATATTTTGCATGTTATTCAAAATATGCTAATGAATTTGGAACGAGGGGACTATATATTTATGTCAAGGGTATGAGTAAGATAAGTGTTTAAGATTACTCTGTACATGACTCCTCATACCAAAATGATGAAAACTATTGAAAAAAACTGTCATGTTAAAATTTGTGTAAATAAATACTCCCTCCGTCCCATGAAACCTTTCTCCTTTCTTTTTTTATCCGTCCCACAAAACACTTCTCATTTCTATTAAAAAGTCACTTTTACCCTTTACTTTTTCATACCCTAACTATCACATCATACCTTTTTACTAATAATCTATCCATCAAATCATACTTTTACCCATCACATCAAAGGACATTTTTGGAAATTTAATACCAAAATACACTCTCCTTAAATCCCTCCTAAAAAGCAAAAGTCTCATGTTTCATGGGATGGAGGGAGTATTTTTTCACCTATTTTTTAGGAATATAAAAAATTCATGGTCGTCAAAGATCAATGTTTGATACTCCCCCAGCCCCAAAAAAATTAAGTTGGACATATTACACGCAATATGTACACCTTGAGTCAATGCAGATCCAGGAAATTTTATGACAGGGGTACCATCGGTATGTTAAGAACGGGATTCAAGACATCATTCGTCCAAATCTTTTTTATAGAGAATTTTAAATTATAGAAAAGTTGTGTAGTAAACTTTTTATTAAAAAATATATTCGAATATTTACGTTGAAATGAAATACTCAAAAAGAACTAATCCTCTCTCCGTCCCAAAATTAATTATTACAATTTTTTTCCTCTCCTCTCGATAACTTTTGTTTATTTATGTGTTTTTATTAAACATTTCATAAAACACTACTACAAAAAAGACTTTTTAAATAAAATACTTTTATCACTTCTCATTTTGTAGAACTTTTGACGCAATTTTTTAATAGTATGTAATTTTCATTTTTTATTCATGTACCAATTTATTAATAAAGTGATTTCAAGCGATGAGAAATTTTGTCTCATAGCAAATAGCACTAAAATATAATAACTTTCCTTAAATAGCATTACATGTAATTTTTTTCCAATTTAGCACTTTTAGTTAATATGCATTAGTCATTATTCAAGTAAATGTTTGCCACCATTGAACATTATAGATAATATTAAGTGCTATTTAGAAAATAAAACATTTTAAGTGCTAATTAGAGAAATGATTTGAGTTTTAGTGCTATTTTGTGCAAATATTTCTTTTTTGAGTACAAATTTACTACGTATTTTATAACATAAATGTAGTGAATTTAGATAATGGGAATGGAAATTAAAGCAGCCTAAAAATGTAGTGAATTTAGGTAATGGCCTAATGGGTGATACTCCGTACTACCAAGTCCCGAGGTAATTAATTAATTACTGCCTGTTTCAAAAGCGATTCTAAAGAAAATCATCAAGAAAATTAACCAGCTGTGTCGTCCCGAAGAAATCGGAACGGGACATATTGAATTCAAAACTGAGTTGTAATAACTTGGTTACAAATTAAAGCGCAGATTCTCGATGGATTAATGGGTGTAAGATCCATGTGTACAAAAATATGTTTAATTACATTAATGATATTTAAACAAAGTGTTATTATATACTCCCTCCGTCCCATAAAGATGGGTACGTTTTGACTAAAATAGAAATTAAGGGAGGGATAATTTTGTGTTAACTTTCCAAAAATACCCTTGATGTGAAGGGTAAAAGTATGATGTGATGTGTAGATTATTAAGAAAAAGGTATGATGTGATATGTAGGGTTTGAAAAAGTAAGGAGTAAAAGTGTTTTTAATAGAAATGGGTAAGGTATTGTGGGACGCAATTTTTTTGAAAGGTGTAAATCTTTTTGGGACGGAGGGAGTATAAAGTATAATTACAAATATATTATTTTATAATAAACACTTCATAAATAAATTGAGGTGTAATGTAACCATAATAACTTTTTAAAATTTAAAACTTTGATATTTATGATAAATGTATATTCGAATTAAATTTTTTACAAAAGTAATTTTTTTGTGTATGAAAAAATACAATACTTTTTTATCTTAAAGATATTTATTAAGATAACATAATAATAATAATAATAATAATAATAATAATAATAATAATAATAATAATAATAATCAATAACAAAAAGAATTAGAATGAGAATATTATAAAAATACACTAAAATAATTTTTTTAAAAGTTTTTTAGATTTTCCAATTTATTCTAGTTTTTTCAGTTTCTTCCAATTGTTTTCAATTTTTTCAAGTTTCTTCTAGCTTCTTCCAGTTTCTTCTAATTCTTTTCAGTTTTTTACGATATGTAGCTTTTTTCAGTCCTAAAGAACGCGTTCTATATATATTTATGTCAAGGGTTTGGGTAAGATAAGTGTCTAAAGTTACTTTGAACATAATACTCTGTACATAACTCCTCGTACCAAAATGAAAACTATTGAAAAAAACTGTCATGATAAAATTTGCGTAAATAAATATTTTTTATCCTATTTTTTAGAAATATAAACAATTCATTGTCAAAGATCAATGTTTGATTATCTCCCTGTCCCAAAAAAATTAAGTTGGACGTATTACACGCAGTTATGCAACAATTTGAGCATTATTAAGACTTCCCATTTTGATTTGGGAGCAAAAATAAGGAAGTGTTAAATTATTGTTGATTTCCAATTTTGCCCCTGATGTGATCGGAAAAAGTAAGATGTGATGGATAGATTATTAGAGAAAAAGTATAATGTGATAGGTAGGGTATGAAAAAGTAAGGGTAAAAGTGGTTTTTTAATAAAAAGGGGAAGTGTTTTGTTGGAAGTGGGAAAAATAAAAGAGGAAGTGTTTTTGAGAACGGAGGAAGTACATGATTAAATGTCAAAAATCGAGGTTTTCTTTCATGTTAATTTTCCAAAGAGGTGTTTAATTAGTTAGGGAAATAAGTGTCTATTTGGGTGGGTTCGATCAGATCTAGCTCAGCTCTTTCTACATTGAAAGAAATGAATACAAATGGGAGAACCTAGGTTAGCTCAGCTCTTTCTACATTACGTGTTTATTGTTAAAAACTTAAAATTCAATCCCTCCATCCCTCAAAAGTGAAAACATTCTTTTTTTTTAACCGTCTCCAAAAAAAATTCTCATTTCTATTAAAAACTTATTTTTATCCCTATTCACTTTTAATCTACCAATCAAATCTTATTTTTACCTATCACACCGAAGGACATTTTTAGAAACTCAATACCAAAATACATCTTCCTTAAATTCCTTAAAAATTAAAATCTTCCTTTTCTCGAGGGACGAGAGGAGTATATTAAAACTTTTATACTCCCTCCGTCCCTAATTTGACTATAATTTTTTTCTTTCTCTTGGTAACTTTTGTTTGTTTATACAATTTCATTGAGTATCGTATTTGATAAAATAAAATATTCTTATCACCTTTTGTTTTGTAGAATTTTGACGTAGTTTTTTAATATGTAATTTTTATTTTTTTCAATATACCAATTTATAAATAAAATAATTTTAAAAAATGAGATATTTTTCTTTGTAGACCCCAATTTTTAATCAAATTGAGGATGGAGAGAGTATGCCATATGGAAGTACAGAGAAGAATTCACAAAGTGGCGGCGGCGGCGTATGGATGTACAGAAATGCCATATGTGATCAATATTTTTACTTTATGATATGATACTTCCCTTTTTAATTTATTTATTTCACTTTTATATGCCATATGGATAAAGTTTCACATCAACACTTATAGGGGCAAGAAAGTACTCCCTCCGTCCTAATTTATATCGCCCGTTTTGACTTTTGGATATATTTAAGGAAAATAAAAAATAGAGTTGATTTTTTGAAATTGACATTACTTTTTAAGAGGGGTGATGATGAATGAGAAGATAAGGTGAAAAAGAGTGACTTATTTTAAGGGTAGTTTAGGTATTTTATTTTTAAAAGTTTACGAAAACAACTAACATGCAATTTATTTTGGGACGGAGAAAAAAGGCAAACAGGCAATTTAAAATGGGACGGAGGGATCGGAGTAATTTAGTAGCCTTGGAGCCTAACCTCCTCCCACTTGTGTTGTTTGAAAGTTGTTTGAGAGACTAATACGTACTCCTGAGTCCAGAGTATTTGTCTAAATTTAACTTTTTACAGTTAAACAAGATATATGATCCACCTTTCATTACCTATAATTAAATAAAAACTAAATGGTATATATGTACTAGATAAAACTATGTTTTGAAAATATTTTACAAAATAAACTTAATAAAAGTATTTTTGTATGTGATACATAAACTTTATTTAATAAATGGTGAAAGCTAAGTTTATCAATTTTGATTATAAAAGATCAAAACTAGATAAATTCTCTAACACAGATGTACTCCGATAGCATTGATCGACATGGGCTTGACGGCGTTTGATGGGGTGGCACGCAGGCGCCTTGTAAGCAGATATGTGTGAGTTAAAAAGTACTTGCTCCGTTCTAAACTACTCCATCCGTTTCTCAAAAGAGTCCCTCTTTTGACTTTGGGGGAAAATAAGGAAGTGTTAAATGATAGTTGACTTTCCAATTTTGACCTTGATGTGATGGGTAAAAGTAAGATGTGATAGTTTAGTTGTTAGTGAAAAAAGTATGATATGATAGGTAGGGTATAAAAAAGTAGGGGAGTGGTTTTTTAATAGAAAAGGGAAGTGTTTTAAGAAAAACAAAAAAAATGAAAAAGGAAGGGTTTTAAGAAACGGAAGGAGTATTACTCACAGTTTGACTTTGTAAAACTAGACAAAAAAAGTACTCCCTGAGTCCCAAATTAATACTCACAAAGAGAAAAAAAGTAAACCACAAAAAACTTTCAAAATAATAAAACTGATGGATTAATTTGAAACAACCTAAAAACAAATTAAGGAGAATTAATTTAGGACGGGAGAGCATGTGTAATGCTATTATGGAACTTGAAATGGGAGCATGTGATGGAGTACACTGAAGATGTGAATTATTTTGATTAATTGAAAAAAAGAAAACTAAGAATTATAGTGTAGGCATATTGTACTACCCCACTATAGACGTGCACTATTATGAGTAAACTTTAGACAAAATTTGGTCTTAAAATTAAAAGAAGGAAAGAAAAATGTATGCCAATGTTTTTATATTAGTACAAATTTATTTTTTAACATAAATGAAGTAAATTTAGATAATAATGGGAATGGAGATAAAAGCAGCCAAAAAAATAGGGTATGGGTAATACTCCGTACTTCCAAGTCAAACGCGATTCTAAGGAAAATCATCAAGAAATAAACCAGCTGTGTCGTCCCGAAGAAATCGGAACGGAACATTTTGAATTCAAAACTGAGTTGTATTAAGTTGTTTAATTACAAAGCGCAGATCCATGTGTACAAGAATGAGCGAATGAATTTCAAGAAAGTAATTAATGTGCCCTAATTAACAAATCAAACGGATTTGTTTGACCTAATTAACGAGAACAAAGCAAACTGTGGAAGTCCATCATTAGGGAATGAGCATCATTGAACTCAACGGTCTTCTGGATCTTGTCCACCGCGATCCTCGCCGCCGCCCTTTCTCTTTCTATCTGCTGCCGCCGCCGCCGCAGCCTCACTGCCTCCTCCTCCTCCGCCTTCCAATTCGGGTCGCCCAGTTTCTTCTTGCTTGCCTTGGCGATTGTCTCCGCGTACCGCACCTTCATCATCTCGGCGCGTAGGGCCATGGGGCGGGAAAGTGGGATTTCAACGGCCGCCGGCGCGGCTGTTTCCCGAACGAGACGCGTCGTGTGATGCTTATTGTCGATCTTATTGATCACATGATCATCATCTGTTGCCGATCTTATTATTGGACAGTTGTGATTGTTTGATGACGACTTGGGAGATTTGGCCGTCGGTGGTGCGGTTTTTCGGCAGAGATCTCCGCCCCCGCCGCCGCGGCTGTCAATTCTCCGCCGCCGCTTGTGAACAGCTTGACCTCCACGCAGCTTTTTCCTTGGCCGGAATAACACAGCACCAAGCTTTCCCTTGGCGACGGCCATATCCGATGGAGCGTGTGTATACGCGCGCGCGTATCAATACGTAAGAAAAACCCTGATTTGAAGCTGGATGTGATTGAAAGATTTGATATGATGATGAAAACAAGAAGAGGCGGAGCGGAATATTGGGGCGGGCATAGTGAGTCTTATATACTCACTCCCTCAATACTCATGATGAGTGTTAAGGAAATTAAACTAACTCCAAATTATAATTAATGCTCCCTTTGCTTCCAAAATACTTTCCTATATGATGTTTTTAATTTCTTTATTTCACTTATAAATAAATTTTAATCATCCCCCATATTTCATCATTTCTCTATTAACACCTTTCACTTTTTAATAATTTTGTGAAATAAATTGTAAACTTATTTTTTGAATTGAAGAATAATACTCTCTCCGTCCTATAATGATCTTCCCAGAGCACTATTCCAACTTCACGAGAATTTATATTTATTTGTGTTTTTTCATGGCCTATATGATAAAATAAAATATTCTTGTCACCACTTGTTTTGTTGAACTTTTGGTGTAGTTTTTAAATATGTATGTTTTATTTTTTATTTCTATACCAATATTTAAATAAAATAGATTGAAAAAACTTGGGATTTTTCTTCGTTTTGCGAACCGGGAAGATCATTATAGGACGGAGGGAGTATTACTCTCTCTCTCTCTTTCTCTCTCTCTCTTTGTAGGGAATTTTTTTTCTTATATATTTTTTCACATTATCTAATATACTACGAAGTACCCCGGAGTAACATTTTAATTATTACAACCTCCCTACTTGAGTATTTGTCTAGTTTTGACTTTTTTGCTCAACTTTTTCTAACTTTTGACTTATCATTAAATAAAATATATATTGTATATTAATTCGATAAACTAATATTTTATAAATATTTGATATAATAAATCTACTAAAACTATTTTTGCATCAATATCTAATACTACCTCCGTCCCAGAGTATTTGTCCACTTTCATTTCTACACACCATCCAATACACTTCTTTAATCCATTTTATCTTATAATTTGTATATTAAAAAATTATAGAAATTATATATTAATAATCTCTATGTTAAGACAAATCAAACAAGATCACACATGACTATATTTAGGCTTACACATTGAGAGAATTTAATGAGTCAGAGTGCTTAGATGAACATTTCCAAAAGTCAAAACTGGACGAATACTTCGGGACAGAGGGAGTATCATTTTTATTTAATTTAAGATCAAAATTTATCAATTTTGACTAAAAAAAGTCAAAAGTGAACAAATATCCAAAGACAGAGAGAGTACTAGCTATTTATACATAGATATATTTTATCTTCTGCGTGGCTGCACCCCTTAAAATACTTTTACTTACACCTCATGTCCTCTTGTATCATACATTTTTTCATTTGCATGTCTTAAATGGACATAAGTACTCTTACTTTTCAAATTAAACCTAACCCCATGTCCCATTTTGACATTTTCTAAACATTACTGGTTTTTAATATTGTTATTTAATCTTTGTCCGACTTAATTTTGAATTCAATTTCATCGGTCCAAAAGGTGGAATCGCCCACCCCAGGCGCCCCCAACTTTGATAATTTCGTGTACCAACCAGACCTAGACTTTTCTTAATTTAAACCTAACCTATGTACCTCAGTGACGGGCTGTTACCGCAATGGGGGCAACAAGCACAAAAGGAAGCGGCCGAATCGTCCCAACGCTCGACCCAACGTAAATGTTAAAACCGTGAACGGGCGGATGCTCACGAAGCACTACTCAACGACTACTACAATACTCTGTTGTTTACCCATCGGAGGATTTTAGTAATCGTTTTGGACATTTCTACTACACCTCATGTCCTCTTCTACTACTCAACGACTACTACAATACTATGTTGTTTACCCATTGAAGTTTCGGAGCTTCAAATCCATTTCCAGTGAAATTGTGAGGTAAGTTCAAAGAGGATTAAAGATGATGTGGTAGAAATAGAAAGTTTGAAGCACTAGACAATATTAGAAAGTTTTAAGGTAAGTTAAAAGAGAGTTAAAGATAACGGACAATATTAGAAAGAGATTTCAAAATTACACATTCCTTAAATCTCACCTTTTTCTAAAGTGAAAAAAGTTTATGGTATAGAAAATGTACTTGATTGCAACTATCATTAAAATTATTCTGTCGGTCCTAATTTTAATCACCTGTTTTAGTTTACAATGTTTGAATAAATTTATTTTCAATACAATTTGAGAATTGAACTAGAATAAAAAAAATTTACAAATTCACAAACTACATAAAAACTAATGAAACAAAATAATATACCATTATTATACTACGTATTATTTTATCAAATGAGTAATAAAAATAAGGAAAAAAAACTTAATAAAGTTTAATATTGTAAATATTAATCAGGCAACTTAATTTTAACCTTTTGAAATAACTTTGATTTATACTACGTAAATTAGTATAGAAATGAAAAGTAGAAACTAAATATTTCAAACGTACATAAAAAATTCTATAAAATAAAACACGACAAGAATGTTTTATTTTATCAAATAATCAATTAATATACAAAAATAAATAAAAATCATCGGAAGGAGTATAATTTTTTAGAAATATAAAAAATGAGAAGTCATGGTCAAAGATCAAAGCTTGTAAACCACTACAAAATGCATGCTAACTAATATTTCCATCTAGAGGACACATGGTTAACATTTCACAAAATTGGGTTGGAACGAGGAATGATCATCCTATATATCATTTCTCCCTGGACCAATCCCCACTCTTCCCGCCAGTTTTCCATTCGAGTTTGACATCCGTAATCCGGATGTCCTTTGACGCTGCCTTGCACATATCATACACAGTCAGGCCAGCCACAGTCACTGCCGCCAAAGCCTCCATCTCCACCCCAGTTTCTCCACGCGCCGAAGCCTCCCCTTCAATCTCAACACTCAAGTCTTTAGGATTCAAAGCCAAATCGACCCGAACATGAGTCAAGTTTATGTTGTGACACAGAGGGATGATTGTGCTCGTCTGCTTTGCCCCGCAGATTCCAGCTATCTTTGCCACACCAAGAACGTCCCCTTTCCCCATCTCGTTAGCCGATACAAGATCAAACACTTTCCTTCCCAAAATGACCTTGCAGCTAGCAACCGCTACTCTGTGGCTAACCCCTTTGCAAGAGATGTCTACCATTTTTGCTTCCCCCTCCTTGCTAACGTGAGTCAGCATAGGCATTGTCAAGTCGTTTCCGGTATCTTTTGGTGGGATGGAGCATGGTTCATCTATTGCATCTTGGTTTTCGATTGCGCCAGAGAAACTAGATGGGGGAGGCTCACCAAATATGGATTCCATTTCCTGCAACAACAACACACAGGCACCATATGAGCATCTGTCAAAGGAACCTGAATCCAAGATTCAAGAGCCTATGGCCAAACCATTTGACTAAATCAAATCAAAACGGAACGCTAAACCTCCATTTGGGTAATAAATGCAGTAATGCATCAAGGATCTAACATACACATTACGTACATCTTGATCCTCAGAGCCCAATGAAGTTCGGATTACATTGGGGTTTGTTGTTATATCGGAGACATTGTCCAATCATATCAATCCATTTTAAAGAATTAGAGATCGAATAATAACCCTCCACATACACCCAAAAACACAAACATACTCCATCCTTTTATGCAATATACTGCTACTAGTAATTTCATTATCTTCTAACAATCCAACTCACACAGCTGCATCAAAGCTCACATTAAAAAATATAGATTTTTTTTTTGCAAAATGGAAAATTTTAAAGAAAAACAGTACTATTTGAAAAGAAAATTCCAAGAATACGGATCAGGGATGAGAGTGTGTGTGCATACCTATGTACTATGTTCATAATAGCTCGTCCTCAATTTTTTGTTTATTTGTCACTCGTGCCTCTATTACTTTAAACCCTGGAGTAGAATTAATTGTACTGATAATATTTAATCAGAACCATCGCACTTTACTTGGGGGGCCTTATTACATTGATATTGTTGTTGTTGTGAGAGAGTGATGTGCGAGAGCAGTGTGAGCATTATGTAAGAGCTAAACTTTTATGGATTTTTGAAATTTTCTGTCTTTTCTTGAAAACCAATACATCTTTCTCAATATGATGTTCTTTAAAGGAGGCTGCTGGGTCCTACAGTTTCTTGGGTTGAATATTCAAAAAAGAAGTTGAGAGGATTACTTAGAATTCTTAAGGGATAACCTTATTGAGTTCAGCAATAGCATTGGAAAGATCACGATTACCAGTGCTACAAAAGAACCGAGCCGATTGAGGCAATTTTGAAGCAACCCGGCGAAGAAACATTGTCAGATTGGTTTAGTGTGCTTCACCTGTACTCTGAAGAAAAAAATTAATTAGGCAGGTAAAGCTATCATCTTTCGTTCATTTAGGCACAACCACAAACACTTGAAGAGCATATCCATTGGACAAATGAGCAAAACCAACACCAAAATGAAAAGAATTTTGAAACAAACATGTTCTATTATTACATACCCTTGGCGTCCAGAATCAATGAAAGTTGGTTACTTGGAGTCTGTGAGAAGAACTTTCCACATTTGCCTCATATTGTGCCCCTCTTCTGCGTTTTAGCTTTTAGGGTACTAATGAGTGCCCTGTATTACACGGGATATCAATTGTGCTGTCAACGATCAACACAAACATGAAAAGAACACATTCAAAATGATACTATCAGTCTATCACATGAATTTTTAAAAATAATGCTATTATCACAATTAGTGCATATTTTCTTAAGTTGTAGAAGTTTAACTCTTTAGTCTTTATAGTGATACTCCCACTGACAATCTACAACTCATAAATATAGTATTAATATAGTAAAGATTTTATAGTGATACTTTCAAGTATTCATAGAGTAAATATTTACATAGGAATATTTGAAGTCTTACATACACCAGATTGTAAATGGTGTACTATTGTGATCAAGTACGTCCAACAATTGTTACTAATGAAATGATTACAATCACATTTGTCAATAAAATTGCATATCAAGGGTCCATAATAAACAGAAAACTTTCATTCTTGGGACACAATGATGGATTTAGGTACTATTTTCTAAGGAAAAAGGTGTCACTAAAAATCATATATTAGACAATCCCTGGAAAATAAAGTATACCAAAATCCATACACCAAAAGTATCTA